ACTAATGGGTCTCAATTAATTAATTGGTTAAATAGAACATTTTGAACCAATTTCCAACATTGTCATTGGATATGGGTATGGGGTGCACTACAGTGCCGACGCTGCCACCACCACCCCTCGCTCCTTCCTTTACCTCCACCAGCGCCCCGCCTTGTTCTTCCACTGCTGCCCTTGCTCCACCCTCCCTTCACCCCCACTCCACCCCACGAGCAACTATAGAGGTGAGTAGGAGACACGTAGTATGAAATACTTATCATTATTTTTGTCATGTCCATAATATTAAATAATGATCCTTATCATATAAATAACTTATTTACCAATTGGGTAACGTACTGTCTCATTTTCACTTCATATACAAAAATATAGGGAATGAAACCTTTTGGAAATGTAATACAATAGTTGATGTTGGGATGTCGAAAATAATTGGCCACTTCATCTTTTGATCATAAAAATATTTTATAGCGTAGCAGCTGATAAAAACTTAGGAATGTCAGACACCTTGCTCGAATAATACTCTGGTTGAATATGGTTTGATATGTCTTCAAGAGTTGATATACTAGTCACACCTGCAAACACCGCAACAATATCAGTGTCTCGTATGCTCGTGAATCTTGATACCCTCGGTTTTTCTACTCACCGAGCAATGGGTCTTAACAAATTATGCTCAAGAGAAGTTTACAAGTAACGAGAGATGACCTGAAAGAACGAGAAGAGTTCTGCATCCAGCATTCAGTCCAAATAAAATATCCGTGTCCAGTCTATCCCCTACCATACACATTCTGGAAGTAGGGATATTGAATCTGTGGAAAAAAAAGAAGAGAAAAAAAGAAGCTCAAGGCCTTTCGTCCATAAACAGATTTACCCGGGACTAACTAGTTATCAACATTATCACATATGAGTGTTCAAAAAAACAATAAGCTAGAGATAAAGTAGCTTTACTGCGTGAGTTTCACCTACTTTTTTAGTAAAAAGTCCATCATAAAGATTGATGGTTTTCCAACTACAATAGGCTCTTTCTGAGTCGACCCACACATGGCAGCAACCATACATCCAGCACCTGTAACCAATAGAAAACTTAATTCCGAAATTTTCATGCCAGTCAAAGAAGCAAAGATGTAAGCTTACCAGGCCACTCTTGCAGATTAGTTAGATGTCCAACTGCATCACGGTTAGTGGCAATAAAGAGACATCCTGGATTCTCACGTATGCAAAGAGTTCCATACCTTCAGAATTCAGATGATTTGAATTGTGGATTTAGTTATAACTTTTCATTAGAGGATCTATATGCTAGACAGAGATTGCAAAAAATAATTCAGATGAAATATTTACTCAAGCATATAGTCCCATAATTTAAGTCAAATGCCAAATGAATTATCTTATTCTCATTCCATGATGCAACATCAGAGAGTAACTCTTGAAGTTTTATAGGGCTTTTTACTGCCACAATAAGAAAGAAAACATTCACTGGGGTATAATGCACCCATAGTGAAAGGTTTAAAAGCTGTCATTTTTTCCCCAGCTAAAGTTGCGCAGCTGAATCAGAATGAAAGCATGAGAAACTCCATGAGGGCCCTTGGGCAAGCTGTAAGTTATGATATGCATGCAATTCATGCAGCAGTGCAAATCTACGCAAAAGAAGGCCTTAAATCTATTCTAAGTTCTAACTACAATTGGTGCACTAGATTTTACTCACTTAAGTTAACCATAGATGCCAAAAAACAATAAGCAGGTTAAAACAGGGAACAAGGAATTTACTGGAGCTTGTAAAAGTTTATATACTGGTCTAGTCCAACCACAACAGCTCCAACCTGGGATACGTAATCAGATCTACAGTCAATAAACAGCAGAGAAAGGTAGAATGCATTCATAAATTGAGGGAAAGATGTCGCATTACACTCTTATCATGTTCGAAAAGAGAGTTTGATCTCAGGAGAACAGTCTTTTTCCCGTCTTCCTGCAGAGAACATCATGGTTATTCAAAATCCTAATAAGACGATTGTAACAAATACCATGCCTAGTTATCCAAAGAACTTAACAGAGCTGGTTTCAATATAAATAACAAGCATGAACAGATAAATTAAAAAATATATGGAAAATAGTTGAGTTAGTAATAAAAAGGGGAAAAAATCAGAGAGGTGAAATAGAAGGGCAAGCCCAAGGGGTTGAGAGTATGAAAAATGAGAACGAAAACTTTCATCGTTTCAAGACCATACAACTAAAGACAACAGGTAAATTGTCAGCTAGTTGGACCTATGGTTCAATATAATATATTCAGAGATGAAACCAAGCGAAGCTTACAGGGCCACCAAGGCCAGTAAATCCAGCAAGTTCCAGTTCTTCCAATATACCTTCTTCGCCAATTACATAAACCTGCAAAATATAAGGGAGAGCTTGATATTATCATCATGCCATCACTTCACCGATATCATTCAAGTATAGTTAGGAAACTAGAAACTCAGATAAGACTTCGGATTATGAGAGTTTGGTGCAATGTCCATCCCATATTTCTTCATACAATACCCAATTTACGATTCTCAGCTTTGGGCAGATGCTTTCTACTGTTCCAATTTCAATTTTTCCATTATTAATCTGTTAAGATTGTTGCCGCATGCTAATCTTAACATCAATAAAATTAAATTAAAAAATACTCAATCTTGATTAGATATCAGTAAAAAAAACTGCAAACAGCAGATGATTGATTTGTATGCATCTCTCCTAGATTGTTTTATTAACTGGTCGAAGTTGAGAGTATTTTTGGTGTCATTTAATCAGACTTAATTCATTGATAGTTGCAATTATCTTCCTTAGACAATAAGATAATACAGGAGATCTTAAACTGGAATAGATCTAACCAACCAAGAGCGCAAGATAGGTTAAAATGATAAAGAGTAGCCTTGGTAATCAGAGGCAGATGACTTTTGTACAGCTGTTTGACAGATATAGAATGATGGCTGGCATTTCAGAAGACATGAGGTTCAAATCTATTTAATTTATTAACAATGATATATTGATTGGAACAAATTTCCATAACAATCAGTCTTTGAGATAGTGTCATCCACCCAAATATCATTCTTACGATTCAAATTTTAAGCATTATGAGACTTTGTAATACTGAAACAACCTTTTTATCTTTAGGAAAGTCATTCACTTTCAAGTACATGGCGGCAGCAAATGAGGAGGTGAATATCTCATCCTGCAATCAGTAGGATAGGGTATTTAAGCAAAATTCTAAATTTAAATTGTATATTGCATACTGAGTTCAGCTAAAGATATTGATGAACAGAACAAACCATAGTTACAGAAATTCCAAGGGAATTGAACTTCTTTGCATACTGACTTCTTGATTTCCTCGAATTATTTGTCACAAACACCAGCTTCTTCCCCTGCAACCACATATATTAGATAATACGTACGTTCAAAAATGAGCACATATTTCTTATAGACTAAGACATATTGAACATATCCAAACGAATTATGAATCAGAGTTTGATGTTTCAAGCACAATGCACAACAGGTAATTGCAACGCAATAAATTAATCAAAAAGAATAAAATGTTGTTTAAGAAATGACGTCAACTACAGTAACACGCGCACTCACATCAGCTTATGACTAATAATAGATGACTTTCATATAAAACTAATCAAAGCCCTGTATAAATTGGTAAAGTATAAAGACCAAGGAGGTAAAAGAAATACCATGGATCGAAGTGTTTCCAGAGTCTCAGGAACACCATCAATCAGTGAATCCCCCTTCCAAATCACACCTGAATAAATATTTAAAAAAAAATGAATAAACAAAGGCACTGAAACACATGTCAATGCAATAACATTGGAAAAAGAATCCTATAGTGTGCACCATCACAGTCGAAGAGAAAAGCATCGACGGAATCAACGAGGTCCCTGACGTTGTAAGGAGATAGAGACTGGCATTTTGTTTTCTCTTCCATCGTTGATTCTGAGATTTGTCCGTCCATGGCCACGGCGAAGAAAGTCTGTGAGAAGCAGAGGATACTCGAGTCTCTGTGATTTACAGCTTGAGAGACTCGAATATTTTGAGAATTTCAATTGGCCGTTCTATTTTAATGAAAAGCATCAGATTCCCTTCCCCATTTTGAAGCACATGTTCCAATTTAGCTTCGTATTTCTTTGCACCATGTTTGGCTAAGCTGAGAAGTAAAAATAATATATTTTGTCTTCTGAAATGTAAAATTTTGAATCAAGAACTTCAAAATAAGTTACTAAAATTGAATTCTTCTTGCATAGATATATTTAACAGATTGATTTACAGGTGCTGAGTTAGCAACATTTCACAGGGGTTGCTTGAACAAAAAAAAATTAAATCATTATGTGAAATATTGTCAACTTTGCCCTTGTAAACCAATATGTTCATATAGTATTCTTTGCTAGAAGTTTTTTCATATGATCGACAATTATTATCCACAATTCAGAACTCTTTTGTGGAACTCTTCAAAATTAGCTTTTAAGATCTCCAAAACAAGCCTAAACAATAAGTAACTATTTGGTCCCCGTTTGGTCCCCATAAAATTAAATTTTATTTTCTCTCTTCTATTTTCAACCACAAAATTTTTATAAAATAATATTATACGTAAATCGAAAACTTTTTCTTTTCAATTATCTACTCTCTAAAAAATACTATTCCATTCTTTATAAATTAAAAAAATGGGGGCCAAACGGGGTTTAAATCCCATGTTTTTCTCACATGGAATGAAAGAACATTAAATAATATTTATCGCATGTATTCCTACCTCAATCCGAGGGATAAAGTATTAATTTGGAAAAAAATAATAATAGTTAAGTAAATAAGTGGAATGCCACACGTGTGGAAAGGCTATGCACCGCGACTTGTCAAAGAATACCCATTTAATTGATATATTTCCAACTATACATCATGTAAATGAATCTTGGTTTGCAAACATAAGTAACAAAAAATAAATACTTCTATACGATATCAATATTGAAGTATTCTTGCTAGTGTTGAATAGCTGGTCCTTTCTTCCTTCTGAACCTTTGTTTTGGTAAAACAGGATTTAGCTCATAATTGTCCATTTTTATTAATTTTGAAATATAATTTCAAGATCCCAATGAATCTATGATAAAATCATTTATTTACAATGGAATTGTATACAAAGTCAACGGTTGAAAGTTATCAAATTCTTTTGCCTTTTTTCCTTCTACGAGGATTGATGAAATGAGAGCCCATCAATTGTTGAAACATCTTGAAATGTGCAATTCATCCCTATCGATTTCATAATGGTTTTCTCCTTCCCTCAAGTAGAGCTCCTTTCCAGCTTCACTCCACCTCCATTGCCCCGACCACCACCATATTGCAGCAACCAAGATCGGCAAACATCACTATGCAAATAGAAATCCCTTGACCCAACCATTGAATGTTTTCTTTAGGAGTGGGCGAGATTTGGTTCGATCCGATTCTGAAGGGAACCGATCCGAGTACCAATGTGAATAATAAAAATGGAACTATTGGCTCCATATCCAATTATAGAACTAAATCAAAATCGAACCAAGCGGTTCCAATTCGCTCCGATTTTTTATATTGAAAAAAATTATAAAAATATAAAGTATGAAATTACTTGTCAAATTTAAAATAAACAAACGTAGAGTATAAAACTACTTGTCATTTTTGTAATACAAAAAAACTATTAAACAATGCAATAAATAAAAATTAACTTCAAATTTTCAAGATCAACTTATTAAAGTGAAAAATTAATAAACTATTTAAACAAAGTATAAATGGTAAAATCTCAATTGAAAATTAATTTTTAAGAACATTCATATAACAATAGCCCATTATTCTTAGTAATTCTTAAGGATCATGATTCTTGATGAACGGCCACTTTTAAAATAACAATAAAAATGTATTTTCCTATTGTTGTTGCATTAAAACTATGAATTTATAAAATACTTAAAAAATTATTTAGACTTGAATTTCAATTACACATTAAAGGAAATAAGCATCTGAAAACTGAAATTCTAACGTGCATTAATTTTGGGATCCAGTGTTTTAAAGATTCAATGCATCTTGGTATGAGTAAAAAGAGAAATTTGGGAGAATCGAATTCAATGTTCATTCTCACGATGGTACTAAGAATCGAATCGGAAACGACCTATTCTACAATGTATGGTCCCAAAATCAACCTATTTAGTAGATAAATCAGAACCGAACCGCCCGATTTTATTTGGTTCCTATCCAGTTCTACCAGTCCTTAAAAAAATGCCAACCCCTAGTTTTCTTGCTTGACTTAATGACTATGATATAAATAAGAAGAAAGATAAAGTCCTTAAAACTTGAAGTAATATCACAAAACAATAAAATGCTGAGGAGTGGAAATATAATAGATTTTAGGGCTGTTCGAGACTCCCGAACGGAATCGACTTAACTGGACTCGTTCCAAACTGAATCGAATCAAATCAAGCGATTCTTTTTAAATTAAATACCCGAATAGATATTTAAATCAAGAATCGATGGGTTCGATTCGATTCTTGATTCTAAATCAAGAATCGAATTTTCCTAATTTTTTAAATTTATGTATTTTAAATAAATCAAATTATTTTATTTTTTAAGATAAATTTGCTAACTAGTTAATTTGGCTTAAACCCAAAAATATGATTTTTTTATTTCTAATTTTCCATCATAGTCCATCTTAATCAAATTGACCTAAGTTTTACTCAAATCTGTTATTCTAATATAGTTCATTTCTACTACTTTGGAGAAATTGAATTGAAACTTGATAACGCTTCTCTTGATTATTGTGAACTCGTATCTTTCTATTCATATGATTTTAACAATTAAATCTATGAAAAACTCAACAAAGAGAAATACAAAAAACACATAAGAATGAACTACGTTATTTTGTAAGAGTTAAGATTAAACATGTCATTATTTGAATTAATATAGCTTTGTAAATATTAGAAATTATAATTATAGTACAAAATTTGAGAATCGAATGGAACCGAATCAAATCAAACTGAAACGAATAGAACCGAGCCTGAACGTTCCATGCTAAATTTGGATATGACGGTTCTACTTACTAAATACCCAAAAATTTTGAGTCCGATTTGGTTCTCATAAGAAATGAACCGAATTGAATTGGACCATGTCAATTCCTAACAAAATTTTTCTCCAACTGAATTGAAGTTCTGTACAGTTTTTACAATATTTTGTAGGGCTGGACAAAACACATGAAACAAGCTGGACCCGACTCGAACCGAATTGAACTCAACGATTCTTCTTTAATTAAATACCCAAACGGCTATTTGAATTGAAAATCAAGGTGTTCGATTTTTTATTCTAGATCAAGAACCGAATAACCGAATCTCCTTAATTTTTTAATTTATTTATTTTACATTATCCAAAATTATTTTATTTTTTTCTAAATAAATTTGATAACTAGTAAATATCCTATACCAAAAAATATGATTTTCCTATTTCTAATTTTCGGTCTAAGGCCAATTTAAACAAATCGACCTAAGTTTTACTCAGATTTGATATTTTACCGAACTGTTGTCTCTACCATTTTAGAGAAATCGAATTGAAACTCGATTGTATCTCTCTTAATTATTGTGAGCTTTCTATCTTTCTGTTCTTATAATTTTAACAATCAAAACTATGAAGAATTCGACAAAGAGAGATGCAAAAAACACATAAATCTTCCTCTTCACATAATTTTAATAATCAACTCTATGAAAAACTCAGTAATAAGAGACACAAAAGAATCATAAGATTGGACAATGTTATTTTGTAAGAACTGAGATTGAACATGCCATTAGTTCAATTACTATAGTTTTTTAAATATTAAAAAAATGAAACAGAACTGAAACGAATAGAACCGAACCCAAATAGTTTCATAATTAAATTTGGACCCGATGCTTTTATAATTAAATTTGGACCCGCCGGTTCTACTTAATAAATACCCAAAAATTTCTTGTCTGATTCAGTTCTCGTTATAACCGAATCGAACCATGTCCAGCCCTAATGTTTTGATTAATCACATTGCTTGCTTTTCTCCCAGAAAAACACAAAATGTACGGGGTAGAACGTGGTTTGGGATTTGATCTATTATGAATCAAAGTAAAACTAATTTGCTCATCTTCAAGAATCATTCCCAAACTTACCCAGAGCAACAAGATTCACTATCAGTTGAAGTCTTCACTCTTGTTACGAAATATAAAAACCGTCAGTGCAGGTGCATCGACTTGGATCAGTTCAAAGACACCCGTATCTCCAATCTCAATTTTTTTCACCTTAGCAAATGCTACACATTCTGTGGATAAAATACGCACCCTATCGCAATCTCTTTCATCGGCAAAATTTTCTCTTATATTCATATGGACCGACCAAATCTTTATATCTGAATCATAAAGTTCAATAAGCACTAGATATCTTGTCTAGGGGTGCCAACGAGTCAAGTCGAACCGGCTCGCGAGCCGAAATTTTCGGCTCAGGCTCGGCTCGAACTTTTTTAAGACAATCTTTTTTTTGCCTTTGCTCGGGAAAAAAATTAAGGATCGACCCGAGTTTTAGGCTCAGTTTTCTGGGTTTTTTTATATAATTTCTCTCATCTTAGCCGCCCCAACAGATAGCAGGTTTGCTGCTAGTTGGCAGCTTCATCCGGCAATAAACTACTGCCCGTTGGCAGCTTTATATGTTGCCTTAATCGGTAGCTTTAAGGTAGTTCAGCTGCCAAATAGGTAGCATATTTTTTTTACAGGCCTCTCGAGCCACATAGACCGGCCCGACTCGAGCTAACCCCTCGAAATGGGGCTTGGCCCGAGCCTCGAGCCGGATCGGCTCTTACTTTTTTCGGGCCAAGCCGATAAGCCCGATTGTCATCCCTGATCTTGGCAGAAATTCCTAACAAATAAAGCTGGTACATAATTCACAAACAAGAAAAGTTGTACGATATTAATGTCCAATGAAGGCTATACACAAAAATCTAGTAAACTTAATCTCAGATGAAGTCAAGAAAGCAATGAAACTCACTACTATAACTTAACAAGTAACATAAACTTCAAGAGTTTATCACCACCCATTGTGGAGTCAGATTTTCTTTTGTTTTGACAGTGAATGAAGGATATACACAATTAAA